ACAACAACAAAATGGCCGGCAGCTGAGCCAACGAAGAGATCCAAAGAGATGCGTTCATTATATGCTCAGCTGTCCAACAGCGAAACAACTTAATTACACAACAATAACTACAACAACAACAACAACAACAATAACTACAACAATAACAACAACAACACAACGTATGAACAATGGCATTTTGGCAAGTTTTTACAAAAGCTCTTCAAGTATTATTATTGGATTTTTTTTTGTCGTCATTTTTTTTTTTTTTTGTTCACTCTTTTGTTTTGTTTAATTTGTGAAGCCCTTCTACGGCGTATTATAGCCATGTAAAGCAGCATGGAGTCGATCTATTTATAGATATTGATATAAATATATATTGATATATATTACATATCACATATACATATATGTACATATGTATTATATATTATTATAATCAACTCAAGCTGCGCCATTTCCTTTGCTTGTCATTTATGCGATTTTCAACTTTTTTACCTGAGCAAATTTTCCAGCTGCACTCAAGACAGAAGCCAAAGCGCGATATCAGCGAGCAATAAACAAAACTAGCTCTTGCCTCATTTGATTAACTTCCAACAGATTTAGCTGTTCCTCAAATCAACTAACTCCATCTCTTTCTCGCTTTGAATTACTCTTTCTTTTGCTCCATCTATACTTATTAATATATTTTTATATCTTTAATAATTCGCTCTCACATCATCGGTGAACTTTTATCTTTCTCTCCTTATCTCTCTCTATCTCACAGTATCTCCCTCTCGCTCTCTCTCCCAATCTCTCTCTCGCTCTCTCTCTCGCTCTCTCTCTTTCTCTATCTCTCTCTCTCTCTATCTCTCAATCTCACTCTATCTCACTGTATCTCCCTCTCGCTCCCTCTTTATCATCATCTTGTCACTTGCTTCTTCCTTCTGAGCTTCTTCTTTTATTCTCTTCTGTCCTGTTTTATTATACTTTCATCTCTATTACTATTCTCTCTCTCTCTCTTTCTCTCTCTGTCTCTCTTTTTCTCTCTCTCTTTCTCTCTCTCTCTCTTTCTTTCTTTCTCCCTCTTTCTCTCTCTCTCTCTCTCTCTCCCCCTCTATCTACCTATATCTTCCTATCTTTCTCTCTCACTTGCTTCTAATCTACTAAACTCTCTCACTCTCTTTCTCTCACTCGCGCTCTCTCCTTATCTCACTCTCACTCATTCTCCCCATCTTACTCTTCACTCATACTCTATCCAAATCATACTCTCCATCTCTTTCTGCATCTCTCTCTCTCTCCCTGCATCGCTCTCTCAAACCTATGCAAGTCCAGCTATATTTTCAAATAGATCAACCAATTTATAAATCTCCCTCTCTCTCCCTCTCTCTCTCTCTCTCTCTCACGCTATCTTTGTCGCCCCCTCTAGCTCTTTTCGAACAGAGCCTGAAGTGTCGATAATTAAGCTTTGTCGCATTGCATGCCACAATTGCTGAGTAGTTCAAATAAAACTCGAAACATAATTGACAGTCGCTCTTTTTTTCTCGTTGTTTTTTTTTTTTTTTGGTAATCCGAAACTCGAACTTCAGCTGCTGCCGCTGCTGCTGCTTCTTCATCTTCATCTGTATCTGCTTCTTCTTCTTCTTCTTTGTGTTTTTGGGCAACTTTCGCACTTGAAACGCTCCACTTGAGTGTTAAAGCGATAATTGAATCATTTGTCGGCCACTCGACTACCACACTGACAACTCGAGGCACCCTGTATGCCGGACATAACCTTAACAATGAAGGCAGTCCAAAGGAACGACTAGCATATACCCTGCATGAAATGGCTACGTCTCAAATGCAGCTTACCAAATTCCTCTGCTAGGCAGAAATTTCCACCTTCAAGCTGATCTCTAACTGTATTATAAACACTCTTCATCTCTATGCATACTACCCGCTTGCCAATTGGCCTACAGGGTATTTACAATGAAGGAATAATTTCAGGTATGTTTTGTTAAGCGCTGTGAGAATCGCACGTCAAAATATTTGCAAAACAAAGCTGCTAGTTGAAGGACAAACGGCTTAAGGACATCCACACACACACACTCGCACACACACACACTGGCTTGGAGTGTAGCCAGCTGAAAGTTGTTGTTGCTGCCTAATATGAAAACTATGCCAGCATATCGAATTACCAGTTAAGCACTCAATATCATTATCATCATCATCATCATCATCGTCATTATTATTTTCGCTAAAATCATTAGGAAATTCAATATTTATATTTTGACAGAAAATGAATTGTATTTGAGATTTTCGTATTTTCTTATTGGCATTGTCTGCCGCTCCTACTCCTCCTCCTCCTCCTGCTGCTCCTGATTCACGCACTAATTGCAAAGTTAATTAACAATGAGCGCATAGAAATATGGGAAATTCGCATTAAAAATGCCCAAGACATGAATCATGCACAATCCCTGTTTCCCCTATACCCTTCCCACATTCCACATTCGCTTCCAGCGTGGATCGCACAACCTGCGCAGGAAAATATCGAATTACGCCGCGACGCATTCTCGAGCTACGCAGTTAAATGCGATCGTTCATGCGCTCGCTCGCTCCCACATTCCAGCCAATCCAGTGCTAGGCACTGGCTGTCTCACTCTCACAGCCAGCCTCGACAGAAGTCTCCAGACTGCGTGGCCGCTGTCGTAGACAAAGAGTCGGCGACGACAGCGACAGCGACAACGACGGCGAAGTTATGTCGTGAGAGCGCGATTCATTGCTGTTGCTGTTGTTGTTGCTGTTGTAATTGTAGCTTTGGCATTTCGATTGTTTAATAGACTTGCGGTGAAAAAAGCTCGCGCGTGGGCTGACGTTTCAGTTGCTCTAGCGGCTGCTAATGGCGCGTGTGGGCGTGAGAAAAACAGTTTGAAGCGTCGCGATGCTTCATTGGTAATGACAAAAGCACCGTTGTGTTTGCCAAGTGCCTGCCAATTGTTGTTGCTTGCCATTGTCTTGGAGTATGCCATGATCAGCTGGCTGTAATGCTCGAACAGTTACTCTTGGCCATTTCCATGGCAGGAGCTCTGTAACATTTTAATTAGACGGCTGTTTTAGTAGTAGTGTGCGCCCCACAAACAAACATGTGTAGCAGCAACAACAACAACATCCAATAGCTATATGTATGTAGTTTTTACAACTCCTGCTCAGCTCATTTTATATATTTTGTGTGTGTGGGGTTTTTCTTCTATTTTATTTTTTATTTTTAATTTTTTGCTTTTTGGCTATAAATTGGCGTCCTTCATTGAACGAGCCGAAACTTGCCGCTGCCGCTGATCCCACCCCATTAACGGGCCGCAGCGACGGCAGTAGCAGTAGCAGCAGCGACAGCGGTAGTGGCAGCCAGCACCACAAACAATACAAAATGGGCACCACGCACACACACACATTCAAATGCACACCAATACTAGTGCAGCTCAGCGCACGCACACAAACAAAACTGGTCGAACGACTGGAAGTTTTCCAGCACACTGGAAGTACTGTGTGCGTTAGAGCGGCTCAGCTAGTCAGACACAAGCGAACAGCAGCTGTGCTGCTCGCACACACACAACATCGTTGCGCACATGCGCCATGTTGGGCTTAATCACTGTGCAGGGGAAATTGCCGTTTGTACGCGCACGCCGTCTGACTGAATGTGTGCGAGCGGCACAGCTAGTGCTGTGGCAGTGAACAGACGCCGCCCCTGATGCTGGCGTTGGTTTACCGTTGCGCAGCGGCGACGCGGGCAGCGCAGTAGCAGCGCTGCGTGGACGGCGACAGCGTTGGCAACGTAGCTGCCAAGGATCAAGTCAGGCTAAAAAATCCCGTTGACGCTGCCGTTGCCTTTACCTTTGCCGTTGCCCGTGCACGTTGCATGCCACCGTTGGATGGACCGCTCAGCGACTTTCTAGCCAGTTGGTCCCAACCACCAGAGCTGGGGCAGGCACCGACGTAGACGACAGCGACGACGACGACGACGACGACAACAACGACGACGACGACGACAACGACGACGACGGCGGCGACGGCGATGACGATGACGATGGCGATGGCGACGACAAAACTCCTGCTGCACATTAAGTCAGGCAACAGTTTAACGTGGAAATTATTGCGAATTTGTTGTGTGTTTTTGCGACAGGCGACACAAGCGACAAACAAGAACAAATAATAAAAACAGCGCGGGATAACCGCGAGCGAATTGCCAGCAATAACAACAGCTTTAACAACAACATCAACAGCAGCAGCACCAACAATCATTTTTTTAGTGTTAAGTGCAGTTATACTCGATTGTTATTGTTGCCGGCCTACAGATAGTAAACACACACAAACAGTCACACACACATACAGTCACACACACACTCATAGACGAACAAATAACACACGAGCAGCCGGCATATTAGCTCAGAGAGAGAGATAGCGAGCGAGAGAGCAACAGTCAGCGCGCCAAAGAGAGCGCGAGTGGCTAAAGCTTTGAAATACCGTTTTAATTAAAAGCAAACAGAACAAAACAAAACAAAACAAAAGCAACAACAGCCGAAGCAATTTTCGATTTTGCGAAGCAAACCAACAACATATTAGCAGCCATTTGGAGCTCGAATTCGAATTCGAACTCGCAGCAGTTACTAATAACTAATTAAAAGAGAGAGAGAGAGAGTGAGGGAGTGGAAGAGAGCGTGGCAGTGCGAGGGAAAGGGAGCGAAGGAGAGCGAGCGCGATGCCGCAGCGTTCGCCATTTGCCATACAGGAGCTGCTCGGCCTGGCCGTTGCGGCAGCAGCAACAACAACAGCCACTACAGCAGCAGCAACAACAACAACAACAAGTGCCACTAAAGAAACTACAACAGCAGCATGCGAAACGGCAACCGATTTAACAACGGCAACAACAAACAACGCGCGCGAAACGCCAACGCCGCCAACAACAACAGCATCAGGACCAACAGCAGCAAATGCAGCGCATTACAACAACAGCAGCAGCGGCAGCTTGGCAGCAGCGGCCAGCGGCTTGGCTACCTTGGAGCAGCAGCAGCAGCAGCAACAACAACAACAACAGCAGCAGCAACATTTTAGGGATCAGCAACAACAGCAACAACTAACAATGGCAGCCGCCTCGCGCATGGCGTATTTCAATGCACACGCAGCTGTGGCCGCTGCTTTTATGCCCCATCAGCTGGCCGCTGCAGTGCATCATCATCATCATCATCCGCACTCACATCCGCATTCGCATCCGCATACGCATACGCATCACCATCCGCATCATCCACATCAGCATCACACGCAACAGCAGCAGCAGCAGCAGACGCCACAGCCGCCGCCGCCGTTGCCAGCAGCAATGCCAATGCCACCGCATCACCCGCTGCTGCATGCGCAGGGTAAGCGAAACACCCCAAAAACGAAATCCCCCCCTCACCCGCAACTGTCCCCCTCAGCTGACGCTGTTACAGTTACAGATCGAATAATCGGCAACTGGTTTTGTCACCTGCACGACACACACACACACACACTCACACATACACAGAATCACCTATACAAGAGGCGACGAGAGCCGCTTAGTTTGCATAAAAAAGAAATTAATCAACGAGCCCATCAGACACACACACACGCACACATAGACAACGGCTCAAGCTGCAGCTTTTGAGCCACTTCATTCCACCTCCAACTCTCCACTCAAGTTGAGCTGCTAATTGCAATGGCAATTGCTTATATATACATACATGCATGTGTGTGTGTGTGAAAGAGAAGCGACAAACACTGTCACAGTGGAACAATTGATTAACGTATATGCAAACATAGAAGTTCACTAAAGTTCACAGTTTAACATTTAGCACAAATTATACGAAAATAAAATTAGGCATATATTAATTGAGCTTATATCAATATAAATCCAAATTACAATTATTATTACTTATTAATTATGTTAGAGTTAATTATGTTTATTATGTTTAATTTGACTGGCAATAAAATAATCATGCATGAATGTCTGCATGAAAAGCTTGACAATAATTATTTCAAATAGTTCGCTTGCCTTGCCTCACTGTTAGGCACGACTTTGTCTGCGGATCAGCAACAAAAGAAACACAGCAAGCACTAGTGGACGGATGAGCGAGTGAGGTATGGAAGAAGGAGGGAGGGAGAGAGATAGGGAACGCGAGCTTAAGTCGAGCAAGTGGCAATATTACCGCAACGAAACGGGCTGAAAAACAACAACAACGAGAACAGCATCAGCAGCAACGGCAGCAACAACAACAACAAGAGTAAACAGCAAACTGAAGCTCGCACAACGATTGACTCTCCCACACACTAACATTCTGGCATACATACACACACATATATATGTATGTACATAGATGTACATGTGTATGCAAGACAGATAATCTGGCTGCTTGAAGTGCCAACTGTTATTGTTGCTGTGGTTGATGCTGTTGTTATTGTTATTATTATTTTAATTAGCGTTGAAATGTCATCGTCATCACTTACCATGTTGTTGTTAGTGTTTCACTGTGCCAAATTGAAGTTCAGCTTGTCGCTAGCCTGCACTCCAGCACTGCTCCCACACACACACACATACGCTGAACGAGCAAAAATAGCGCACGCACTCGCACTCACACTCACTCGCACTAGCACTCTACACTCTGCACTCTACACTCTGCACTCTACACTCTACACTCTACACTCTGCACTCTACACTTTACACTCTGCCTTCTTCTAGTTACGCTCGCTCTCTTCCTCTCGCTCTTTCTTTCGTCAATCTACATACGTTCGAGTTTTGTTTGTTAGAAACTTCCGGACGATATTTCTTTTGCATTGCTTGCTTTCTCTTTTCTTGATGCATTGTTGTTATTATTATTTGGTTCGTTTATTAATTGTGCATGCATGTACATACACACATGCATGTGTGTACATGTATACTTGTGTGTGTGTTTATTTGTATTTATTTATCGCATATTTTCTCTGCTTTGTGCCCTGTTCGCGTAATTTGTTTAATAAATGTGAGAAAGAACTTTTGGCGCAGCTTTTGCTGTTGGTAACTGTTATTGTTGCCGCTTTTTTATTCGCGTCATCTTATTTAATTTTGCATATTGTTGCCGCTGCCGTCGCCGTCGCCGTCGCCGCTGCTGCTGCTGCTGCTACGTTCTGCTTTGCCAACTCTTCTTTGTGTGCGTGCGTGTGTGTGCGTGTTGTGTGCGTGCGTGTGTTTGTGTGTGTGCGTGTTGTTTGTCTCGTTGATTTTTTACACTTTTGTTGATTTTTCCCATTTGCCCCTTTCGTCAATTAAAGTCGCGTCAAGTTTGGGGCCAAAAGCCCAAAACGGATTTCCTGCCACCCAAATGGCGCCTTCACCCAACACAAGCATCACCCCGCCTCTCTCCGCCCCGCTTCCATGTTCCTTTTCGCTCGACCTCGCGGCAAACGGTCACACTCAGCTGGGCCATTAAGTGCCTTTGATCTTTTACACAGACAGACGGAAGCAAGGCAAAACCAAAAGCCAAATTGCCAAATTGGTAACGTACACCACTAGCCATTTATCTACATACATACACTCTCTGTGTGTGTGTGTGTATGTGTGCGTACCGAAATGTATTTTCTTCTTTCATTCTTTTTTTAATATTTTAATTGACAATTTTCACTTTAGCTCTTGTCGCTTTGTTGTGACAGTTGTTTTGATGTGTTTACACACACACACACACGTGGAAATACACACACACACACACACACACACACATACACACTCTTGTGCTATTGCAAATTGATAGCGCAAAGCTTTTGTGGCTTTGAAGCGCCGTCTGCTGGGCCTCGACGGGGTCACGTAAGAATAACGTAAGAATAACGAATATATACACTGTATACTATATATATAAGATCATATCATATAGTTTACATTGTATATACCAAAATGGTCTGTTTATGTTAACCTTAACCCTTTCTTCTATAAAGATTTACATATTTCCTTATATGTATATGTATGTATATACAAGAGAATACATGAAGTAGAGTGGCTCTTAAGTTAAGCAGATATATTACATATATATATATAGATACATACGTAATATACATACATACTTACACCTTGATTGAACTCATTTCTCAACTATAAATTGAGTTAGGGAAATTTAAAACTAAAGAAGAAGATAAAAGAAAACGAAAAACAATTCTGATTGAATTGAATGCAAGACGTAGGACAATTGCTTGCGCCTCTCCATAAGATGGGAATTCAATTTTGATTTACATATTGCAATGTTGCAACAATTGAATAATTATGTAATCGATAAATGTGTTTTGCTAATTGCTGCTGCGCTGATGAACGACTTGTCCGTCGTCCGTCGTCCGTCGGGCAACGTGTTGCGACTGCCCTTTGATATTTGAGACAGTTTGCTAATAGCCTCTGGCTGCCCCTGCCCCTGCCCCTGCCCCAGCCCCTGCCACAGCTCGAGCACCGCTGGCCCACTTTGTGGGCTGATAGAAATATTCTTAATTGTGCGCCGTGCGCCATGTGTGCGGTCTAGGGAGTGTGAGCGAGAGAGAGAGAGAGAGAGAGAGAGAGAGAGAGAGTAAAGAGAGGGGGCCAACTACCTCTAGACCCTGGCCAGACAAACTTGCTTTGACTTTGCTTTGATTTTGCTTTGACGCACATTTTAAGCACTGCTGAAAGAAACAACACGGAGCATGTGCCAGCTATGGGGTATGCTCGACTAGAGCATACGCTGCATGCAGCACAACTCATTAGGAGGAGGCTAAAATGTCAGATTGATTGATTCGCATACATATGTACATACATATATCTCTATACATACATACATATGTACATCTGCTCTGTTAAAACCAGTATACCCTCTGGCTGTGCTCTAGCTTGTAGCTCATCCCGCTGCAGCCGTCCAGCCAAGTGCCCCAAACGCGAGCGAGCCCGCCCGCTGGCGCTTGTCCTGCCACGCCCTGCTTCTGCCGCTGCTGCTGCTGCTGCTGCTGCCGCTGCCTCTGTGCGGCTTGCCGCATGTGCCGCATGCTGCATGCCACTTGGTCGCATTGTCTGAGGTGTGAACGCCGCCGACACGAGAGTGCAATTGCTGCTGTTGTTGCAGTTGCACTTTAGAAGCACCAACTGCCCCTCTCGCCCCCTCCCACTGCCCATTCGCACACTCAATCTGGTTTCGCTTTGATTTTTGTGAATTTCGGCTTTTCACTTCTTTTTTTTTTTTTGTAAATTTAAAAGTCAATTAAAGCAACTTGACAAACGAAACGGAGTGCCACTCGAGGGGTTAATTTACTGTGTGTGTGTGTGAGTGTGTATATGGGTGTGTGTGTGTGTGTGTGTGGCTGTTAAGTTTGTCTCGCATTAAAGCGAAATTAGCCGCAATTAAATTTAATAAATGAGCCAAACTCACCAAATAAATACAAAATCTCACTAATTATAATTGTAATTACAATAATAATATGTGTGTGTGTGTGTGTGTGTGCCTGGTATATACATATATATAGCACGTAATCATATGCTAGATTTTCTGCAACGTCACATGGCAATCATCGAGGCGATCGTGCCTAAAAGCAAAGCGAAGAGATGCGGATAGAGAGAGATAGATATAGAGATTGATATAGATATAGATATAGATATAGATATAGATATAGATATAGATATAGATATA